TGTAGATTATATAGCTTAGACACTTTCCTTGTACCAAATTGACATTATCAAAATATTCATCATTGTCTTCCTTCTTTCATGAAATTGAGGGAAAACTTAGCCTATAAATATGAAGAAAACAAGTTTGCTAGCATTATCCCCAAACTTGTGATTTCATAAGTGCGTTACTTTCCAACCGTGCAGACATCATCGCTTTGTCCTACTTCCAGATTTTTTGTCTTCCAGTAAGTGCAACTCTTAGATTTCTCCACATCAGAAGCTCTGGCCCTGAGAAGCACCCAAAATTATTCCTGCCATGGGATTGTTCAATGTCACTCATCCTGCTTTTTTCCTGCTGACTGGTATCCCTGGTCTGGAGAGCTCTCACTCCTGGCTAACAGGCCCTCTCTGTGTGATGTATGCTGTGGCTCTGGGTAGAATCACAGTGATCCTGAAGGCTGTGCAGGTGAAGTCCAGACTACATGAGCCCATGTACTACTTCCTGTCCATGCTGTCCTTCAGCCATGGACCAGGTCCATGGCCACACTACCCACTGTTTTCAGAACCTTCTGCCTGGATGCCCGAACTATTGCCTTTGATTCCTGCCTAATCCAGATGTTTCTCATTCACTCCTTCTCTGTGATGGAGTCGGGTATTTTGCTGGCCATGAGTGTTGAGTGCTATGTGGCTATTTGTGATCCTTTGCACTGTGCCACTGTGCTCACCAATTAAGTCATTGCTGGAATGGGTTTAACTGTGACTTCATCACCCTCATCCCTCTTCCCACACTTATCAAAAAGCTGTCTCTCTGCAGGTCCAACGTTTTTTGGGTTTTTTTTCCACCCCTACTCTGCCTACATCCAAACATAATGAAGCTTCCTTGTTCTGATATTACTATCAACATCTATGGACTATTCGCTTAGAGAGAAGAAAAGGTATATTCAGGCCCCTAGCCATACTGGCCACCAGCCTCACTTTCTGAGTGTCACAAAAGGGACCTGCCCTACCTCAATTAAGCCAACTCTAGGCCTCATCAGCTCTTCCAGGATAAAACTTCTTTTCTATTTCAGTTGCAGTTCAGTTGGATAAGAATTTCTCTTCACTCAAATATTGTTGTAAAAATGAAAACCAGGAGCAGAGGCAGAGACAGTTTATCCTCTGAGTTGGGTTATGTACAGCAAGGGCATTTCCCCATTAGGAGAATATCCCATATTCCATTATGAACTGGACACATTTTCTAACTGTGCTGATGCACTTTGGACTTAGAACCCTCTGTTGTTCTATTTCATTCTCAGATAAGGAGGGATCTATTTGTTGGTGCTTCTACATTTGAGCACAGGCAACTGGATGCCCTCCAGGCAGCTGAGTAGAACATTAGATCCTGAATGCTTTCAGATTTCCTAGGAGTACAGTTTATGTAGTCTAACTTCAAGCAATGAATCGATTCTTTTTCAAAGAATGAGTTACCCTCTGCATGGGAAGAGAAGGACTACTAAACGAGCAGTAATTTGATCTGACTATCAGAAACCAAGATTTGTTCTAATGGTTTTATCATACCAGGAGTAGGTAAGGGTGGTTATGATTGTATTTGTTGTATTTATAATATTAAGGGTTTTTTTCCTTTGCTTCCATTAAGCACAGGAGACTTATTCATCAAATATATATAAAAGAAAATAAGTAGAGGGAATAAATTGTTTATTGTATGATCATATATCTTAGTTGGTTTGATCTGTACACATATAATTAGGGTGTCAGGTGATACCTAAACATTTGCTATTTCATTGAAATTTACATAAACCTCCAAAACTCTTAAAGGTAAAGTATAATCCTCAGCCAAAACTTCCCATAAATTTAGGGAGTATGTATCATTTACCCAAATCAATGGTCATGACAGGCTTTATTTTAAAAGACTTACAGAACGAATTGATCTCTCAAGCCCAGGTCTAAAACAACATGGAGACAATTTGGGGGAGTGGATATAATTATGGTGGTAAAGTATTTTTTCCCCTTTCCCATCAAACTGTTTTTGGTGTGTTTGTGTGCTTGCTTGTTGTGTTTATTTTCTTACATAAGCCCACAATAACTCATTCATTTATTTATTCATTTAACAATATTTATTGAACCTTGCAATGTGCCAAGTACAGTTCTAGATTTGAGGACTTGAAGATTATGGGATGTAGTCATTAAGGTTTGTGAGCAAAAACTACCTGAAGAGATATGGGAGGGCTATGTCAGGACCTCCTGGGATTTGATTAGTAACTACACATTCCTTTTAAATGCCTGCTTACAAAGTTTCACCATGCTTGTAGAGGCTGCAGGATGAGGGGAGTTAGTTAGTAGTGGATATATAATAAGTGGTGATATAAACAGTGAGAGAACAGAATAAACATTGAGAAGCACAGAGCTTTGTATTTAAGGCAAACATCTCATGATGACAGCTAGAAGAAATCAGCATTCTGGGAGAAAATTTATATTTTTACAATGAAAAACAAGCAATAAACAACCATGGTTAAGAGTCAACATTTTTATTAGTCTTAATATCCAAGCTCAGGGTTTCAGAGTGAGATAGATTTTTCTGTAAATGTTGAACCACTTAAAAATTGATAGAGTTACAAGTGGCCTTTTCTGTATTTGAAATACTATTGTGAAAATAAAATCTACTATGTGATTTTAACACAAATTTTAGAATCATAAAATTAAGAAACAATTTTTTTACTAGGTATGCAAGTGGCAAGAAAATTAAATTTGAAACGCAAAAAAAATCCTACTGAACAAATTCAAAACTTTACATACTGCATCATAGGCATTAGTTGGAAATCTTCTTCATTGTCAATTATTCAACAAGGTATGATTCTATTCAACAAGAAGTATGATTCAACATTTAGAATTCAAGTACCTGTAAGAATATTTTTACAAATAATGTAGAAGTAAAAATTTGTGATTATGAAAAGAAAAAGATTTCTAAGACTTTATTCATGTAAACTGGAAAATTTGGTTCTATTTTTAATCAGATCTAGATTTTTTTTCAAAATAGGTTTTTTGTTTTTTGAGACAGAGTCTCGGGCTGTCACCTGTCACCCTGGGTAGAATGCCCTGGCATCATAACTCACAGCAACTTACAATTCTTGGGCTCAAGTGATCCTCTTGTCTCAGTTTTTCTATTTTCAGTAGAGACAGAGGTCTTCCTTTTGCTCAGGCTGGTCTTGAACTTGTGAGGTCAAGCTATCCACCCACCTTGGCCTCCCAAGATGCTAGGGTTACAGACATAAGCCACCACACCCAGCAAAAAATAATTTTTTAATTAAACATCTCAGCCTTCATTCCATACAAAAATATTATGAACATATATGTAACTTATCATTTGCTTAAATGACAACATACTATGTAAAATATTTATTTTACCAGATTAAACAAATACAATTAATTTTACAAATAAAAAATTCATTTTTCACATGTTTGATAATTATAGAATTCATTAATATTTATTAGGCAGTAATAAAACAGGCTACAAATATTTATTTGATGACATTCATATATATTTATAAATTAAAAAATATTTTCTGTACTAAAGAAGTACTCACTCTTCCCAAGCATATGCCATATTAAGTGACATCTCAATTTTATAGTTGAGATTGAGAGGCCTTTTATTAAAGACCTATCAAACACTGAAGTCCATAGTGTAGTTTCTAATATTCATAGATAGATAGTGAAATGTTAGTTTATAAAAGACTTTTTAATAAAAGAGAGATGACCACTATTGTCAACATGACTCTAAGGACTATGGTTTAATCTTTGTTTTCAATGTTTTTCTTTCATTCCTGTTCATAACTGTACAGTGTAGGCTCATACCCTTTTGTCTCCATGTATTAAAAAGTACAATTTCCAGATGGTGGGAAGATTGTCTGGAATCAGAAGTGGGGGTAGAATAGCTTTTCTACCTTCCTGAAAGGGGATAGTTAGACCTTCTCTTTCATGATTTGTATGCCATTCATTTCTTTCTCGTGTCTGATTGCTCTGATGAGGGCATTCAGTACTATGTCGAATAGCTGTGGTGATAGTGGGCACCTTAGTCTTATTCCCTTTCTTAGTGGGAATGTTTTCAACTTTTATCCATTCACTACTGTGTATAACGTTGGCTGTGGGCTGGTCATGTATGGCTTTTATCATTCTGAACTATGTATGAGGACTTGTGACAGTGATGATGGGGACTCCCATAGCTCCATTTGCAGTGTTTGTATAGTGAGTGTGTGGCCCTAGGATTCTTTCTTGAAACCATCCCCATGTGTATGGGTCTCCACAGGTACCTTCCAATTTGAGCAAGTGGAGCTCCCCATCCCATCTCCTTCACTTTGAGTGTCTCTTTTCAGTCCCCTCAAGATTTACAGTGCTCTCTCCAAAAGGGTCCGTCTGTAGAAGGCTTCTACTTGGCAGTTTTTGATCCTATCCTATGATGTGACATGAGCAGACTATTTGGAGTAGGCTTTCATCCTATATTTTTAAAGTTTAAGGATACTCAATATGATCATTTTTAAAGTGAAAATATATTCAAAGTGACTATTCCTTTAAAATTTCATGGATAACACTGGTTTCATCTCTTAATTTTCTATTCAGTTCCATATGTCTATGTCTCTATTTTTGCGCCAATAAATATCTATGATCTCAAGTAACCCCCAATTAGAGCATAATATAATTAGTTTATACATTAATTTTTGTCTGCTTCTGAAATTTACTTCAAAGCATAGTTGTTATTAGTATATTAGGACAAAAAGGATTAAACTTAAGACCTTCTTTCTGGTAGAACCTGAGAGTAGTCATTTGTGCAGCTTGTTACATGATTGATTATAATGTAGTGGAGCATAATATTCTGAGTTAGAGGTTGTAGCCAGACAATTCCACAGTGGCAGGTATCCAATTGTAGATTCTCATCTAAAAGGAGATCAAAAGGCTCCAATGCATAGTCCAACATCAGCAATAACAAAAAACTCCTAAGACACTTGGATTTCCCAGAGGCTGTTCCCTAATCAGAGCTTAGGTATCATTAACATCTTGTGTAGCCTCCTGCGAATCTCCTTCGTCTTGATAGAATAGATAATGGGGTTGAGCATTGGAGGCACTAAGAGATAGACCAGGGATATTAACCTATGCACATACTCAGGGGCATGCTTTCCAAATCTATGGACCATGGACAAACTAATCATGGGCACATAGAAGATTAGCACAGCACAGATATGTGACACACATGTGTTGAGTGTCTTAAGCCTCTCCTTCTGGGAGGCAATGGCCAGCACAGAGTGTAGAATGAGCACATAGGAGAGGAATATAAGCACTGAATCTATACCAAAGGTAGAAATGCCAACACACAGGCCATATATGCTGTTGATGGTTGTGTCTCCACAGGGAAGACGGATCAGGTCAGGGTGCAGGCAGTAGGAATAGGTCAGGACATTGGCCCTGCAGAAAGGCAGTCTCTTCAGGAGGACAGGAAATGGGAAGACCAAGCAGAAGCTGCGGATGATGATGGATGTGCCCATATGGGCCACACGGGTGTCAGTGAGCACTGTGGAATAGCGCAAGGGGTTGCAGATGGCCACACAGCGGTCAAAACTCATGGCCAGCAGGATCCCAGACTCTGTCCAGCAGAAAAAGTGGTTGAAGAACATCTGGGCCAGGCAGGCATCAAAACCAATTGCTGGGGCATGAAAACACATAGCAGCCAGGACAGTAGGCAATGTAGTAAGGGACACACCCAGGTCATTAGCAGACAAAAGAGACAAGAAATAGTACATTGGCTGGTGCAAGCTCTGCTCTTCCTTTATGATAAAGAGGATGAGGGTGTTGCCAAGGATGGAGATCGCATAAAGCAGCAGGAGGAGGGCAGCCAGCCAAGGCTCTAGACCCTTCATCTCTGGAAACCCTGTTAGTGTGAAGCTGGTGGCACTTGAGATGTTGGTCTCAAAGCTCCCCATCATGGCTTCTGAGTGACCTTTGGGGAAATGCAACCAGAGTGAATGGAGGTCAGACAGTGGAAGAAAGGAAGACCAGGGGTAGATGGTGTCTCAGGATAGGAGAGACATGATGCTTAGATTCCAATGCAAAGATCATGACAGTAAGAAATAATCAGCTTATATTTCAGAACCTTTACAATATGGCAGTAGATCTGTTATGGGCTCCAGATCCTTGCCCCTTGAAATCTCTTAACACATTTATAGACATTATCCCCTATTCCCTCTGTGTTACATTTTTATATAGATTCAAATCTTTCACTCATGATGAAAAGTGTTTTTCCCTTTTTCCTTTCTCTCTACCTGTTTTTAGCCATGAGACTATTCAATAAGTGAGGTACGATATGCCCTCTGTGAAGTTTTACTTAATCTCTGCCTACTGATGTACACCCTATCATGTAAGTGATGACACTTTTGTTCATATTCTGTGCTGCTTCTCCTTTCTTGCCGCTGCTTGAGCATCACTCTGGTTCCTCATCTTCTCTTTGTTGCTTGGGCCCCTCCTTTGTGCACTGAGAATCCACAATCTCATTATTCCCCACAGAGGATCATTTTTGCTTCTTTCCTATATGTTCACATTTTATTCTCGGTTTAGACTGAGTACTCTCGATTGCTTTGTGTTAGACCCCCTGGAAAAGCTTTTAAAAAATCTCTGCTCAAACAAAACCCATACCAATTAAATAGAAATTTCTGCAGGTGAAACTCAGGAATCAGCATTTGTTTGAATTTCCAGACATTTCTAATAGCTAGCCAAGTTTGAGAATCAGGGGTTTAGATCACTCCTGGCAGCATTCAAATATGTCCCTTCACTACCACTTCCTCCTCTCTCAGGATCAATTTCAGGAATTATCATCATAGGAAAGAAAGAAACAAACAACAGTAAACATCTTTATTGCCCCTTGATGTCCTTCTAGTAATCATCCACTTCTCTGCTCCTTTTTACACCTAATATTCTCAAACTCATTTTCTACTCATAATTTCCTCCCCACTTCAAATCAATGGATCCCAAATTTATGTCTCCTGCCCAGGCTTCTCTTCTTGCTATGGATTCATGCATCCCTTTCCTGGCATCTCAAGTGTAACATATGCAAGGTTATGAATTCTCTGTCAATTACCAGGCTTGGTTTTCATTGCCATCACCTCATTATCTGTCCAGGTGTTCGTGCCAGAAAAACATGGGAGGCATCCTTAACATGGCTTATCCTGTCCCATTCTCAAGTCTATTCATCTGCTGTTACCTGTTCATTATACTCTCAACCCTGATTTCTCCTCTCTATCTCACTTCCAACTGCAGCCTTCACCTGTAACCAGGATCACTCCAGTCCATTCCAGACTGTTTATCCAGCTTGCTCATTCTTGTCTCTAATCCATTCTCCATGAACCAGCCAAATTATATGTTTATTATACATGTACATATATATAGATACCACACTCCTACTGAAAATCTCCAAATGGTGCCCATAACCTTTTGAAACCACAATTTAAATAACAATTGAAGCCCTTACCAAGACATGCAGAAGCAGTGGCACTACTTGGGAGCTTGTCATCTTCCAATAATTTTAATCATTCTTTCATCACCTTTCTGTTCCTGGTGTTCCCTATTGTACAGCCTTGTGAATGTTTCCTTTGTAGCTCTTCCTATCACACTTTAGATTACAATGCATTATTATCTATTTATTTGCTTATTTGATTAGTACATTTCTCCCTCAATAAGTTTTAAGCCCCCATGATTTTCTGTGTTTCTTCTCTTTTTATCTTCAAGGCATAAGCAAGAGAATGAGCATACAGAGCCCTAGACCAGAACTCAGAGATTATTAGTTCTGATTTTAATTTTTAAAATTAAACTATCTTAAGAAAAAAGATACTAAAGCAAGAGCAATATTTTTAAGTATAAAATAATTCAGATAACTAAAACAACTCTTCAATTCTAATAACTCAATTTAGTTGTAATTTGCCACATACCATATGAATTTGGTTACCTTCGCTTCACATCTATAGAATAGAAAAGGAATGTAGAGTAAAATATCTATGTTTATTCAGATCCCAAGTTCAAAGCATATAACGAATAAATGGTAACCAAGAAAACTGTGATGATTAGGGATATTTAAGGGCTGAGAGTTCCTTGTCCTGTCCCAAAACTGTCTTTACATTTTCTGTTTCTCAGAAAAAAGAAGCACTCTCCTTTTGTGTCAACTTTCTATTCACTCTTTAACAACATCTGGAGTACGAGTTAATCACACTGAAACATCTATACCAATCAAGAGCATCTGAGGCACCCTCTGAGCCAAGTCTCTGCATGCTGGGAACCACAGAGTAAAGTCCTGACACTGAGGCCAGGATAGTGAGATTTCAGGCACCAACAGTTGTAGATGGGGAGTATGAGCATGAGAACAGAAGTGGGGTGCAGGGGAATAAAAAACATCACAAATGACCTCTACTTTCTCAAAAGCTTATACACAATCACTGTAGGATTTTGAGCAATGAATGAGGTTCCTGAGGGCCTTTGTGTGGAAAGAGCTAAGATTCCCCACTTACCTCCACAGAGTAGTTTTGGAGGATAGGAGAAGAGGTAGGTGAAAAGTCCACTGAGGGGAGAAATGCCATGGGCACTCACTCTGCACTGAGCCTCACTACCAGACTCCACCTACTCCCTGCTCTGAGCTTTATAATGCTCTATCTTAAGAGTCCCCTGGAGAGGTAGCTGTGTGACTGGGAATGTGAGAAATCTCAGGTGGAAGGCTATTCTGTGTACTCTTACTTGTCCCCCTTAGAGGTTTCAAAAAAATTAAGAGTAAGAACTTGGTTGTCCTGGAATGAACAACATGAGTTTTTTAATAGAAAAACTTATGAATTTTTTAATAGGAAAAAAATGACTTTTTTAATAGAAAAACTTTAGCCCAGTAAGTCAACAACAGAGCTAGACTGAATCTCAGACCCACTGATTCTCACTGATTTTCAGATCAGGGCTTTCCACTAACTATGCCACAACTCACATGGATTTCAAGATATAAAATGGCATAACCAACAAAAGCCTAATTCCTTAGGTTGGCATATAGGGTGATCATCTTGGTTTTCCCAGAACTGTACTGGTGTTAATACAGTAGGTCCTGCACTGAGGGAGGCCCCTCAGTTTTGTCAAATGTGGACAATTTGTAACCCACACAGCCAGACTTGTATTCAAAACCACCTCCTTCCCTGTCTAAATGAATGTCATTAAGAACACTATTTGATTAGTTCAAGTTTTAAAGTTCCCATTTGTAAAATGAGTTATAAATTTCCATGTATCCGGATAGTTTTATGACATACGTGCCTATTAAACAAGAAATACCCCCAAGGACTTGTCAGTTTTTCATCTGTCAGAAAGAATTTGAAAGTCAAAAACTTGTCAGAAAGTGAAAGTTCCAGGAGCTCTGAGGGCAGGAAGATGTCCCAGACACTAATGTACTGGCCTTAAAACTGGAGCATTTTTAGGCCATCTCTTATCACACCCACACATTTAGAATGAAGCATTTGAGATGACTCTTAGGGGTAATAAGCTTGCTGGTATGCACAATTATTTATAGAGTCAGAACTTGGATATATGTGTCCCAATGCAGACCCAAATTATCCCCAGTGACCACGCTGATCCTCATTTCCAGGGCTAAAAAACAAAGGATGAGTGCTGTTTATTTCCTGAGCATCAGCTAAGTGTTTATGACTCTACTAGGTTCTTTGCTATAACTTAGTTCATTTAATTGTCAGAGAAAACCTCGTTAATACATTTTATTATTCCTAAAATGACGACTGCATTATTTAATAGTCAGAGTAAGCATGTACATTTAGAACATCAGAAAAGTAAAACCTTCATAGACTTCACATATGTTTTAGATATTTTGATCATTAGATAGTTAAATAAAATGTGAGGTACTTTTTTAAATAGCAAAGTTTCTCAAAAAAACCAAAACTTTATAGAACTTCTTTACGCCTACATTAGGGTTTAAATTATAAATTGTTTTAAAATTTATGTAGAAGAATGCCAAACATGATGAGAATTTAGTGTCTCTGAAGGCTTGTGCTACTGTTTTCTTGTCGTGTCTGTATTTGCATGCATATGAATTTGTGTGTGAGCGTGCATAAATGCATGTGCAGGAATAAGGGGGGGGTATTAAGGGTAAAGACCTTTTATTCCTTGGAAAGGAGAAAAAGATGTCTGGTTTCTTAGAATTAATCAGTAAGTCAATCACAAGATATAGAAATGGAAGATTTAAAAAGATACCTTTATAAAAACTAATGATTCTTAGAGATTTAAGTTTTGGCTGATTTAATCTGATTATGAATATAGGATATGAAAAATAGCCACCATTCACTGAGCAGATGCTGTGTTCCATAAACTTACTAAAATCTCCACAAACATTATTTAATACTCACAAAGGCTATTGGTTAAATCTTATCGACCTTTAGTATATAAAATATGTGAGTCAGAAAGATTATGAAGCTTGTCACGTCATAAAATTACTGGGTGACCCAAGATTCCAATCCACAATGACAGAAAAACAGAATTATAAATGAATATGCTCCTCACAGTCACAACGTCACCAACTGAAGGAGGAGATGAAAGCAAAGAAAGAAAGAGACATGAAGCAGCCCCCAGCACACCCTCCCAAGGAGAAGACACAGGCAGCTCACTGAGCACCAGGGATTAAGACGCTGACACACTGTGGTTTTGGAGATTGATATTTATCCATCTGAACCTAAGACATGACCACTTTAAATCATATAATTAGGTCCCTTTGTCTCCTATTCCTTCTTTATACAGCAATAATTATGTGTCTATCAGCAGGAAGAATGTGCTTTAGAAGTTGACGAAATAATTTTTTCCTAATAGTTTTTCAATAGTTCTTTTTCTCATTCCAAATGAGTAATATCACATGTCTACGTTATCATGTTGGTTAAAGTGAACTCATCCTTGAGAGACACAATCACAC